GAGGTGGGGAAATTAAATCAACTCGATACATTTTTTTAACCACGGTGCCAGGTAAAGGAATTGAATTGCCATCTGGATTGCAAGTGCAGCGTGCTCGTAACTATTAGACCGCCGCGGCAGCTGCCTTAATTTCTCAACAAATAAGGTTAATTGTGTGTCGTGTAATTGCTGGGCATCTGTGTGTTTGCGGCAAACCGGTAAGCGATCTTTACTGATTCATTTCATCTGGTTCCCTGTAACACCTGGTCATCAATGAGCGCACTAATAAAATCATGGTTACATTCTATTCTGCACTTAGCTTGGCTCAACTCCAGCTCTGAGATAATTTCTCACGCGACGAACATTACTCGCCGGCACAGGGTGGGTGGGGAAGGGGAAATATGAACCCAGGGGTTACTGGAAGGGATCTTGCAGGTAGTTCTGTGATGTCCGCTTCCGTGGAACTGTTCTCTCGCACAGAGAGTTGCTCCGCTCATTGTGAGATACACGTGGATTTTGTCATCTGTCGCCGAGAGCAGTCGGGATGAACTTGGGGAGGGAAAAGACTTGTTTATTTTGTTCTAAAACAAGTGAACAGGACACTCAGTCCTCGTATCGTGTGTGATGTAACCATCATGCATTATTCAAAACATTCACACCGCACCTCGACGCCTGCTGGCCTGGATGTACAGGAGGTGCGGGTTTGAATTACAATGTGGATACAAGTGGCTCGAATGAGAGATCAAACAATCGCCAGACCTCTTACGAGCGCTGCCTTTTAACTAAAATAAGTATTTTAATCGACGTTTTGGGTTATGGTCCTTCTCAAGCTGCTGGAGTCATCAGCTAGTTGCTCTTAAACTAGTCCTGAATACCTCCAAAACCAAGGTGCTATGCTTCTCACCAGGACGACAGCAGGAAGTTATTTTTCCCCAATTACATTCCTTAAATAATGATTAAATAGAGCAAGTCAAGATCTATAAGTATCTTTGGGTCATCCTTGATTCAAAACTGAATTTTGAAGATCACTGATTATATTGGTAAAAAGACAAAAATAAAAATTGGTTTTCTGTATCGACACGTACTACTTCCCCCCTATGTTCCTTTTGGAATTTATAAAAGCTACCATACTGCCTTTACTTGATTACTGTGACATCGTATATAAATTAGCCCCCAGTACTGTACTGAAGAAGCTTGACTCAATTGATCACTCGGCCTTGAAGATTTGCATTGAACTGCCCATATAGGACCCACCACTGTGATCTCTACATTGGGTCAAACTTAACATCTCTTAATGTTCGACGGCTTGTGCATCAGATCTTATTTATTCACGATGTACTTACAAAAAAAATCCGCAGACTACCTGCTGGATCTCCTCTCTGTTTCGAAGAACAAATTTGACCTCAGGTCTTCGCTCATTTACCAGCTTCACATTCCTTATTGCCATACAAATACTGGAGGAAGGGCCTTTGCTATTGATGCCCCCAGGGTCTGGAATGCGATTGCCAATAAACTGCAACTTGAATTACTACCTATGAGATCTTCACTCAAAACTGCTCTCGAGGAGTTGTACACCCCTAGCTGCCACTGCTATTGAGTGGCCTAAAATCAAATGTTTCTCTCTGGATGACCGCTGCAAAGTATGATCTTGTGTTTTGATTTAGTGTGCTGATCTTTAAATGTGCATTGAAAAATGTTCATACTCCTACTGATGCTCCTGCTGTTTTGGAGTGACTCATGCAGCCAGCTATGGCTGCAGGGTTTGGTAGTACATGTTGTTTATGTCGTTTCTTGTGAAATTTCGGTCACAGTTCCTATGATCACTGTTACATTGTTTTTATGGCTTTATTTTGGTGATTTCGAAAGTTTTTTGGTTTGGCCATGTTTTTGTTTATTGTAGTACGGAGTTAGACTGATGGCCTTAATGAGTTATTGTTGTTGTTTGACTTGCATCCCACTGGGATTTTTGCACACAGCGTTGGTGTACGGTGCTTTTTTTGCAATATTTTGCTGTCTTTTCTTGGATTTTCTGTTTGTACAAAGTCACAGTCACTTTAAGATGTTTTCTTGTTCGTGTTTTTGTTTTTTGTTTGTTGCGGCTGCACCCGATTCAAGACCCGAATGGCTCACAGGGCTACAGTGAGGGAAAAAAGTATTTGATCCCCTGCTGATTTTGTACGTTTGCCCACTGACAAAGAAATGATCAGTCTATAATTTTAATGGTAGGTTTATTTGAACAATGAGAGACAGAATAACAACAAAAACATCCGGAAAAACGCATGTTAAAAATGTTATAAATTGATTTGCATTTTAATGAGGGAAATAAGTATTTGAACCCTCTGCAAAACATAACTTAGTACTTGGTGGCAAAACCCTTGTTGGCAATCACAGAGGTCAGACGTTTCTTGTAGGTGGCCACTAGGTTTGCACACATCTCAGGAGGGATTTTGTCCCACTCCTCTTTGCAGATCTTCTCCAAGTCATTAAGGTTTCGAGGCTGACGTTTGGCAACTCGAACCTTCAGCTCCCTCCACAGATTTTCTATGGGATTAAGGTCTGGAGACTGGCTAGGCCACTCCAGGACCTTAATGTGCTTCTTCTTGAGCCACTCCTTTGTTGCCTTGGTCGTGTGTTTTTGGTCATTGTCATGCTGGAATACCCATCCACAACCCATTTTCAATGCCCTGGCTGAGGGAAGGAGGTTCTCACCCAAGATTTGACGGTACATGGCCCTCGTCCCTTTGATGCGGTGAAGTTGTCCTGTCCCCTTAGCAGAAAAACACCCCCAAAGCATAATGTTTCCACCTCCGTGTTTGACGGTGGGGATGGTGTTCTTGGGGTCATAGGCAGCATTCCTCCTCCCTTAAACACGGGGAGTTGAGTTGATGCCAAAGAGCTCCATTTTGGTCTCATGTGACCACAACACTTTCACCCAGTTGTCCTCTGAATGATTCAGATGTTCATTGGCAAACTTCAGACGGGCATGTATATGTGCATTCTTGAGCAAGGGGACCTTGTGGGTGCTGCAGGATTTCAGTCCTTCACGGCGTAGTGTGTTACCAATTGTTTTCTTGGTGACTATGGTCCCAGCTGCCTCGAGATCATTGACAAGATCCTCCCATGTAGTTCTGGGCTGATTCCTCACTGTTCTCATGATCATTGCAACTCCACGAGGTGAGATCTTGCATGGAGCCCCAGGCCGAGGGAGATTGACAGTTCTTTTGTGTTTCTTCCATTTGCGAATAATCGCACCAACTGTTGTCACCTTCTCACCAAGCTGCTTGGCAATGGTCTTGTAGCCCATTCCAGCCTTGTGTAGGTCTACAAACTTGTCCCTGACATCCTTGGAGAGCTCTTTGGTCTTGACCATGGTGGAGAGTTTGGAATCTGATTGATTGCTTCTGTGGACAGGTGTCTTTTATACAGGTAACAAGCTGAGATTAGGAGCACTCCCTTTAAGAGTGTGCTCCTAATCTCAGCTCGTTACCTGTATAAAAGCCACCTGGGAGCCAGAAATCTTTCTGATTGAGAGGGGGTCAGATACTTATTTCCCTCATTAAAATGCAAATCAATTTATAACATTTTTGACATGCGTTTTTCTGGATGTTTTTGTTGTTATTCTGTCTCTCACTGTTCAAATAAACCTACCATTAAAATTATAGACTGATCATTTCATTGTCAGTGGGCAAACGTACAAAATCAGCAGGGGATCAAATACTTTTTTCCCTCACTGTATACCAAATAAATGAAACTGAAAACTGAAACTGAATCAATAGCAACGGTCTATCCACTGCTTATTAACGGCCTCTCCATTATCATTAGCTATGGTCTATCCACTGCTGGATGAAGGCATCCCGATTATGAGCCATGCGCCATCCATGAAGGCCAAGGGTTTTTGCCAAAAATATGCAATTCTGCGGGTTTGTGTACCACGATGGCACCACATTAAAATTAAAATAAACCCCCTGAGCATTTCTCCTGAACACTGGAACTACAACAACAACCGACGTTCACCACTAAGTGGCGGTGAGGTCATTACGGCGCTTGTGCCATGCAAGGTGCACTTTGAGGCGGGTCGACGTGTGGAAGGCCTGCAGGCAGGAGGTCGCGGAACAGACCCAGGTGCCATGGGGTGGCTTCACACGCCCAACCAATTCGCATCAAGGGTACATCCCTTCAACTGCTTTCTGACGCCATTGCTAGCTAAGCCTCGAGGGCATTCAGCCTATTCATCCACCAGACGCTTTGAGAGACGTGACCCATTATAATTGCATCGATCCACTCGCGACACTGCCCATTCGACTATGGCGGTGAACCCATTTGTACTGCCGGTTGGACAGAGGCAGCGGGTTTCGGGGATAGGAATATTGCTCCAGCGTTTCAAGGCCACGCCGGGATGTGGAATCGAACCGGCGCGCGAATAATTGCACCACCGCTCGGATGCAGGCAGACTCGGCGACTCCTCTAGGCCTCGGCAAGGTAAGGTAATTTACCCTTTTTACCGGGTAAAAGTGTAAAGGTAAAGGTGTCGATATGCCAAGGGGTAAGGTAAAGGGTAGGGTAAAGGTAGCGCGAAGTATTACCCGGTAAATACCTGGTTTACCGCTCGCTAAAAGCTCCGTGGCGCAGTCCGTGGGCCTCCATTTAAAATTGCAATAATCGAGAGTATTCCTATATGAATAAAGCGCTCTTCCTAGCATTTACCTGTTATAAACCTTTTTCTTGTGTAGTACCCCAGTAATTACCCTGTAGTCGGGTTATTTGTATGGGGTAAGGGTAAAAGTCACTCCTCTCCACGCGGTGACGTCACCACGCGTACGTCCAGCGTTGTGACGACACGCGTAGCACCTCCCCCACCCCGCAGTGATGTCACGCGCAGGCCCATCCGCGGTGAAGTCACGCGCGCAGAGACAACAACAACCGCCATTCGCCACTAAGTGGCGGTGACGTCACCACGACGCTTGTGCCAGGCCTGGCGCAGAGACACCCCTCCCCCCACACAAACTCCATCGCACGCGCCGCGTGACGTCACGCGCAGTCCCAAGCACCGCGTGACGTCACGCTCCCGACAACCATGGCCACCGGCGGCAGCAGCTAGGAGGAGAAGGCTCAGGGTGAACGTTTCAATCCGCCGCATCCGCCGCGCTCGCGCGCCTCAGCCGCCAACATTTCGAGCGGAACATATCCCGCACAAGTCGCCGCGCTCGCCGGCGCCAATATTTCTGCGATCCCGCGCAAGACGTGAGTAGGGTCGCGGTTGAAAGGCTCGACTTCGCGCGGGGCGTTCTGTTACTCGGGCGGTTACGTTTGTTGACATTAAGCCACCATTGTCCCCGCAGCTCGGCGAGCGCCACGGCGACCCGGCCTCGAACCATGGAGTTGCGCATCGGCAATAAGTACCGGCTGGGCCGAAAAATCGGCAGCGGCTCCTTCGGCGACATCTACCTGGGTGAGTTTCCCTGAGTGCCCCGGCCTGCCTCGCCTCTGCCGGTGTATGAGGTCCCTTGGTCGGTAGGCCAGCTAGGAAAGTAGCTTGTGCGCGCAGGCTGATCGTGCGCTACTAGGCCGCGGCGCTAATCTCGGTATCGCGGGTAAGCCGAGCTCACTGGGCGACTTCGCTGCAATACGCAGGGCGTGAGAGACCCCACGCGTTCCTGGGACCACAGCTCCAGGGGAGGGGGAGATTGGTTTCTTGCTCCGAGGTAACTCGAGTCGGGATGGTCTGGACCTGGGCACCGCCCTGTGAACGGGGAATGCGGGGGATCTGGCGCGGATGACTCGACGCCCGAGCGGGCAGGGCAAGGCTGTTCAGGACAAAAGGAGGGCAAGTTTGTGCAGGCTATAAGATAGCAATCACAGGATAAGCCGGGGCAAGGCTTTGTTAATCAGTGAAAGGCTGGCAGGATAAGACAGTATAGGGCAGGCCAGACGGGCCATGTCCCCCTGGCAGCTGGTGGCTGGCCGCGCTGAGTGACAGCAGCAGGAGCAACCCCGCCTGGCCGGGCCCAACAGGCGAACGGGTTGACGGGGGACCCGCCCGCCTGTGTTAACTTCGCAAATCCGTGCCCTTCGCTTGTCGACGGCTCGGTCAGTAGTCCCCAGGTACCCCTTATTGGAGTCGGGAACCCGAGGGACCCGAACGACAACTCGAGGAGTTTCAGCTTGGGTCGATACTCCTTTTATACCACTTACACTTCGTGTATCCATGGGCTAACTGGTTGGCAGCAGATAGGGCAGTGCGGTAAAAATATCGCATTTTTTTGTTATCTGATTTTACTTCTTAATCGTGACTAGCGTGGTGCGATGTGGTCGTATGGGAACCCCTCGACCCGCTCGGTGTGGAGCAGTCATCCAACAGTGGATTGACAAATTTGCTCTACTTAAACATGTTTACCCAGATAAGGTGTTGCTAAACTGACACTCAAGGGTAGTTTAATGTGTGGCATCTGAATCGTAAACACGTTCAAAACTTGAAATCCCACGACTCCCTTGAAAAACAGACTCTCGGACCCTTGGTGATAAGGGACTTTATAAAATTGAGTCGGGGTAGATTGAGTTAGGGTACAAGTCTGTATGTAGGACCACTGTCGACTCCCAACAGCATTAGTAAAAACAGATTTTGGGCTCGTAACCTTCCGATTGCGACTCACTACCGCGTTTAGAACGTTTGGGATGTACCCAGGAAATGGCAGTCCGACAATGAATTCTTAAATCTCTCTGTGCTGAGCTTTGAGTATTAACCCATAGTACGTTTGGTCGGTGTGCTCCGGTTTCCTCCGACATTAATAAAAAAATATCTTTTCTCATGCCATTGGCCAAACATCCCAATGTATCAATACCCTCCTGAAAGTCCCATCATACTCAGTGATGGTATAGGGCAGGGGTCGGGAACCTTTTTGGCTGAGAGAGCCATGAAAGCCACATTTTAAAATAAATTTCCGTGAGAGCCATATAATATTTTTTTAACACTGAATACAACTAAAGAAATGTCAGCTAAGATTTATTTGTGAGCCAGATGCAGTCATCAAAAGAGCCACATCTGGCTCGCGAGCCATAGGTTGCCGACCCCTGGACTATAGGGCTTTGTTATTGAGGCCTCATTGTGCGGTAGTTATCACGCTGCGTTATGAACCTAGCCACAGCTAATACGAGTGGCAAGTGATATCTGAACCGGTCCTGTCACCACCCCCTCTTACCAACCCATCACTGAATAGTGTGGTGAAGTAAAGTAAAAAAAAAACCCTTGACGATTGTTGGGTTAAGAATGGGTGGAATGTCTTAAATATATCTAAAAAATATATTTAGCATCATCAGCTTTTCGTTCAATGCTTCTTTTGGGGTGTAAATAAAGCATCGATGTATTGATTTGCAATGCGTAATCAAGGGCCTGTCGTAGAAATGCATCAGCCCCCCGCCCAGAGCGTGCGGTGATGTTACAGCACAGCAGTGATGGAGAGCCTTGTACAACAGGCATAGCGGCATCACCCACTGGCAGCAGCGGCAGCGCACGGCACTGGACTGTATTCCAGTGTTCCGGTGACACACCAACCCTGCCGCCCCACCCGCCAGGCATTCCTTGGAGAGAGGAAGTCTGCAGCCCCAGCCCCATCTCTTTGTTTCTGTCTCCTTGGCGTCGCCGTGTGTTCAGTTCAGCAATAACAACAACAAATGTCCCAGAGCGAGTAAGATAATCGGGCCTAGCTACGAGTGAGTGAGCGAGTGTGTGTGAAGCGACACTCGCTGGGCAGCCTCAGGGCGGTGGAGGAATGTGAGCCCTGACTTGTGAAGGACGGCGAGGGCTGCGATGTTTTTACAAGTACCCCCAACCCCCTCCCAACTTCATACCTCCTCCACCGAGTGCATCTGTCCCCAAAGATGTTTTTTTTATGAACACAGTTGCTGAGCAAAGGTCCAATACATCAAGTGGCAGTGAACAATAATGGCTCAAAGTTGCAATCGATAAGAGTTAACATTTTTCTTGAATTGAGCAAGATTATAAAAGCTTGTAAATGAGACGATGGGACAGCATTCCAAAGTGGAGCAGTGCAAGGGAAGAAGCAGAGATAAAATTGAGGTGACCTGCATGCTGTGTGGTGCGTGGGTGAGTCCGTGTTGTGGTAAGAGCTAGTGTAGTGTTTAGCGCACTGCGCTATAAACCTGGCGAACCGAGTTCCATTCCCGCTCAGGGCCAACACCGGTGACAATTATCTGAACCATTCTTCGGCCTGCCCGATGTCAACTCAGCCTCAAATTAGTACCGAATGCGTTGTTCGAACATTGCCACTATGGAGACAAAGGCGGTTGGGCGTATATGCCGTACAGGCCTTCATAGGTGTTTGCTAATAGCACTTGTCCCAATAGTCTGTTAAGGCTATACGGGGATTTATTTATTTATTTTGGTGACCTGTAGTGTGGTGGTTGAAGGCTGGATGATGAGATGAAACAGTGTCTAGTAGCCCAAGTCCTCAATATAGGTGGATGAATCAATGAGTGAAGTTCACGAGAACAGGAACCATGGTAGTAGTGGAATAATAGTGATAAGGAGGCGACTCAGCATTGTTAAGTGGGCGACTGGATTGAAGGGGGTGCTCGCTTTTGTACTGCTAATGTAAAGTTTCGTTGTAATGGAATGAACGGAAGGTTTTGGACAGAATATAAAAGGGATAAAATCTCGTTGCGAAACCTTTGCAGGTTTGTAAGGCCATTCTCTTGTATAGTCGTTCAAACCATTGGGTATTTTATTGTAGCTTTACAGTTGAGCTGTAAGGCTCTAGTTTTTGCAGATCCCGCAAGTTAGTAAACACTTGTCCGGCGTTTGAAATAACTCGTGACTTAAAGGTGATGTTGCATTGTATCCCCGGAAAGCACACGTTCCCCACATACGTGTCAAAGTCCTCTTCATCAACCAGGTCAATCCACTGCTGGGTGAAGTCCTCCCCGACCCACCGCTGCCTCCACATCTCACAATCCTGCAATACAACAATCCGTCCAGAACCTGCACGCAAACTGATCACGTTCCATCTCCTCTGGATGTCCTCTCGGACGTGTTCCTTTCCTATTCTAGACCATCGTCCTTGGTCACTTCTAGCCGTGGTCTGTCCTGCCCAAGCCCACTTTTCCTAATGGATTGGATGAGGTCAAAGTTGGGGGGGATATTACCCAAGAACCCCACTCTTATCTGGAGCGTTTGGAGTGAAACATTGTTACACGTACGGTGAGTGTTTTCAAACAATCCTTGACCTTATGCCCCACTTCTCTAGGGACCTGAGTTAGATCCCAGCCGTCACGAGCAAGTGATATATCTTAGCTGATCCTAGTGCCCCCACCTTCGCCAATCTGCACTGACCAGCTTGGTGAAGTGTTGTCAAGCAATGCTGAGGATGGGCACGTTGTGGGGAGGCCTTCCTCTAGCAGTGCATTGATTAAAAGGTTTCATAGAGATAATCTGTAGGCAGAGCAGAATGGGAACGCGAGGGTGGTGACTGTGGGAGGGGTCTCACTAGCGCGGGGGGGCCAGGAGGGAATTCCACACACTCCACGTGTCTCTTGTGACCTGCCCACTCAGGCTTGTGCTTATTGTTGGTTGTGGTGATGTAGGTGGTGGCGGTGATTGAAGCCGGGGGGGAATCTGGTGGTTGTGGTAGTAGTGATGATGGTTGTGGGTGTGATGGTGTTAGCAGTTGTGGTTTTGTTGTTATATTCGTTGATGGAAACACTCAACCACTTTTTCCTGTGCAGCATGTGGTTGTTGTGCATTGTATGGCCATGGGCAGATGCATGGTTCTAGCTCCCTCCATTCCACACAATCCCTCTCCACCTCTTCACCTTCCAACATCGCACTCCACACGAGGGTTCTTTATTTTATACGCAGTTGCCGAGCACACGCTGAAGCACCCATAACGTAAAGTGGTAGGCAACAAAAATGGCGATCAAAGTTGTAATAGATAAGTGTAACACCTCTCTTGCATTGAGTGAGGTTATACGAACTTGTGTAAAGAAACGATGGGGAAGGAAATGCGAAGTAGAGCAGTGGAAGGGAAGAAGCAGAAAGAGAAGTGAGGTGACATGTATTGCAATGGTTGGAACGGCGGTTCCCCTTGCCTTTCTTCCTTGGCAGTGTTTTTTCAGTGACAATCACCGGTTGCGTTTTAATGTGACGCGCTGTTGTGGTTACCACGGGTCGTTAGGCAGCGTCTGGATTACAGAGGTTTTTGCTCATCGCTTGCCCCTCACCCTCACCACGGGCCTGGCCACTTAAATCACAGGGGGGCCATTCGTCACGTGAATGGAAATGGCCGAGTCGGGCGGGCGGCTTTGTGAGGCTCATTTTAACAGCGGTCGTGGGAATTGAGCAGCAGAATTACGTAATACTGGGTCGATGGTCCCGGCACGGATTCATTCCCAGTCTCGTCACAAACGCTCACCGCCTCTCCAGTTAATATAACGCGGGGTTTGCCACCAGCATTTTATTTGTATTTGATTTTTAGGTTGGGCCACCTAATGTTCTGGCCAAATAAGACTCTACTCCACCTGACATAAACGAATTAAATCAATTAGATGGATCTGATTTCTAAATTTGGTTTGCGAGAATTATTATTGAACTTAACGGTGATTTGAAACAAAAATATTAAACTTTTGTACACGGGACAGTTGGGTTTTGGAGGGTCTCACAATAAAAATTTGGCCAGATCATGACTTTTCGGTTCACGTTTTGATTAAAAAAATTGCCATCGACTTTTAATGAATGTTATCAGTGATATTGATCAGATGGGTAAAAATACACACGTCCTTCCAAAATACACTTATCGCCACTTGTACGTATTTTGTAGACTGTCCAATAAATCCGTTTACGGGGACAGTGGTTGGGTTTGGATTTAAAATTAGGAACATTAAACCCATTCCATCCAATCACAGATGCTTAAATATACAATCAGGACGCTACCAAAGAGCGTCAATCACAGTGCACGCCTGCTGCAGTGCAACAATTGCGGTGTGAGAAATACTAACATTTTCTCAAATTACTTGAACAAAAATAGTACAAACGTGATTTAAATGAGTGGGGTTGTCTCAATGAAAACGCGGGATGGGAAAAAGTAGTTTGTGCTGCACTCACGAGACCCCCTCTGTTTGTGCATGCCTGTACGTGCTCGCATGTGTGCGTGTATGTGCGTGGGTGTTTACTTCCTTGTGTGTGTACACATGCTCGTGTGTGTACATACTCGTGTGTGTACATGCTCGTGTGTGTACATGCTCGTGTGTGTACATGCTCGTGTGTGTACATTCTCGTCAGTGTGTGCACGCTCGTAAGTGTGTTCTCATGTCCGTGTGTGTACATGCCCGTGCATGCACGTGTGTGTGTAGGCACCAACATCGCGACGGGTGAGGAGGTGGCCATCAAGCTAGAGTGCGTGAAGACCAAGCACCCTCAATTGCACATTGAGAGCAAGATCTACAAGCTGCTGCAGGGCGGGGGTGAGGCTGGCTGGCTCGCTCGCTCAAATGCTCGCTCATTTGCTTACTCCTCGCTCACGCTTTGGCTGTGGTGCGCGTGTACACATGTCATACCCGTCAACCCATACGGTTTACCCATATTCTTGTACAGGGAAATAGTTTTCAGGTCCATATGGCATACAGCTGTTTTGATATTGGCATTTTTTTTGTTTGTCTTTGTGTTTCTCCCTTGTGATGGGACATTGTAGGATGAACGTTGAGATTTATAAGGGCACGGGGTGACCAATAAGGTCTGAATTGGTCTGTAATAAGGTAGGCACTGATAAGGGGTTGACAGGTATGACATGTACACGACCTGTTACGGTCGTGTGATTTAGGAGTCAGTTTTCTCGTATTAGATTTTTAGGCCTAAATTTAAATTCCATTTCATATTTTTGCATTTAAACTTGGAAAATATAATTAACAATGTGTACTACATTCTTGTCATTGAACGTAAAATAAGTAAATGGTTAACATAATGTTACATCAGTTTCACAATAATTTGTAAGCAAATGTGGTGTTGCTTACAAATTATTGCATCATTTGGCACATGATGCAACTTGGTAAAAGAAGCACGGAAGTGATGCGTTTGAAATTAAATAACTTCCTGTGCTGTCATTTTCCAATCAAAGCTCGATTTTCTTATTTTTGGATCAATCCCACCAGCTAGGCGGGGGCGGGTCCACGGAGGATGCCCACAGGCTCACCGTGGCGAGTGCCATATTGACGTTGATCTGAGGTTGGATTCGGAGCGAGTGGAGGGGTCGATGTATTGGGGTGACAAGGCCTCGTTCACGTCTGTGTACGAGGATGAGTCTGACAGTGGCATTTGAATAAGCTGGGTGCTGTATCCAGTAACGCCAGTGACACCACCTCCTCCTGCCCCCCTCATACTCTTGCTTGCCCCCTCCTCCCCGTGTAGTCGGCATCCCCGTGATCAAGTGGTGTGGCGCGGAGGGCGACTACAATGTGATGGTGATGGAGCTGCTAGGCCCCAGCATGGAGGACCTCTTCAACTTCTGCTCCCGCAAGTTCAGCCTTAAGACCGTGCTGCTGCTCGCTGACCAGATGGTGAGGGCCCACGCCGACACTTCACGTGTAACGGATTTACGTGACGGCTCCTGTCAGTAGGGATCATGACTCGATTAACGAATCGAATAGTTGCCCCGCATGAGGAGAATTCATTGAGCGATGGAGGCGGTGGGGCAAGGCGGAAAACTCTTACTGACCAGGCCCGAGCTTGCCCGTTGCCTGGCGTTCGTGGCCGTGAATTTAAAATGCTGGGGTTAATTTGGCGAGGCCATCGTTGCTCGATGGGTGACGAGGTTTGTGGGAGCACGGCGCGATGGTTCGGTGATGGCACTGGCCTCTCGATTCCCGTCGCGTGCAGATCAGCCGCATCGAGTACCTGCACTCGAAGAACTTCATCCACCGTGACATCAAGCCCGACAACTTCCTTATGGGCCTGGGCAAAAAGGGCAACCTCGTCTACATCATCGACCTGGGCCTGGCGAAGAAGTACCGCGACTCGCGCACCCACCAGCACATCCCCTACCGCGAGAACAAAAACCTGACGGGCACGGCGCGATACGCCTCCATCAACACCCACCTGGGCATCGGTGCGGCACTGCACATCCATCGGCGCCACGTTCGGTTCTGTGTTTCTTGTTGCGCACGAAGGCAGCGGCAATGTGTTTGGGTCCCCTTTGTCTGTCGGTGCTAGACCGTTTGTGTTCATTTTTGCTCGTCCACGCTCATGTGTCGGTGTGTGCATGCCTGCGCTTTTGCTCCACAGAGCAGAGCCGGCGGGACGACCTGGAGTCCCTGGGCTACGTGCTCATGTACTTTAACCTGGGCTCGCTGCCCTGGCAGGGCCTAAAGGCGGCCACAAAGCGCCAGAAATACGAGCGCATCAGCGAGAAAAAGATGTCTACGCCGATCGAGATGCTCTGCAAGACTTACCCCTGTGAGCGGCCCGCACGCCCCGCCACGCGCGCGCACCCTGCCCACGGCGGCCGCGGTTGACGCGCTCCACCCGCATGGCAGTCGTCGCCCACCGCTGTCCCTTGTGGGCGGCCTGTGACCCTGTGCTGCTCTGTCACCCCCACCGCTCGTAGCCGAGTTTGCGACGTACCTCAACTTCTGCCGCTCGCTGCGATTCGACGACAAGCCCGACTACTCGTACCTGCGGCAGCTCTTCCGCAACCTGTTCCACCGGCAGGGCTTCTCCTACGACTACGTGTTCGACTGGAACACGCTCAAGTTTGTAAGGACGCCGCACCCCTGCGTGCCTACACCCCCACTCCAGGTTATATCGCAATGCGCTAACTACTGCGCCACCTCTCTCTCTATGACGTGCCTCGGTGGACACGGGCGACTTTCTGCGTTAGTGTGCTGTATATTCTCCCTCCCCTTGTTCCGCAGAGCTTGATGATCAAGTGTGAGTAAGTTTGGAGTTTTTATGTTTAAGCTACACGGGGAATCTTTGTTGTACGTTTAGTTACGTGCATTTCCACTTATTTATGGTTTGTCTGTGTTTGTACACAACTATTTTTTTATTTTACCAGGTAAGGCCCACTGAGCTATATAGCCCTTTCTCAGAAGCAACCTGGCCACAAATGATAGCATAACAAAGTGGTTTATCACACGCACGTTGATTGTAAATGTGGAGGGAAAAACCGGAGGACCTGGAGAAAAAGCCACACGACCACAGAGAGAGCATACAAACTCAAAATATACAGGCGTCGGGTCGTGGAGTGGTTTGCGCTCTGCACTACAAACTCTGCTACCCGAGTTAGATTCCCGCTCAAGGTCAATAACTTTAAAATATTTTAATCGGTCCTTGGTTCCTTCCCTAGGTCATCTCGGCCTTAAATGCGGACCCTTTGCGGTGTGTAAGCAACAGCACCGGGCATGGTGTTGGCCACCCACCCCCTTGACCTGTCGGCCGTCATAGGTGCTCATTAACAGCACTTGCCCTGACAATGTGTTAATGCTTTCCGGATGATCTTTGTCATTGTGCTTCAGGGAGGCAGTCGTGCCGGCCAGGAGGAGGCCGGGCGAGAGCGGCGTGAGCGGGAGGAGCGACTCAACGGCACGCACGCTCACGTGCCTACACGCGCGCTGCCCGGCTCGGCCGCTGGCAGAATCCGGCAGGACCACGCTGCCATGCCAGCCCCCCTCTCTCCCACACACCAGCCTCCCGGCAAGCCTCGCACACTCGGCTCACTCGCCCACACTCCTACAGACTCCTCAAACACTCCCATGTCTCCCACACACCAGCTTCCCGCCATTTTCTCCCACTCTTACACACTCTACTCGCTCGCCAACACTCCTACAGACTCCTCAAACACTCCCATCTCTCCCACACACCAGCTGCCCAGCATTTTCTCCCACTCACACACTCTACTTACAAATACTCCTGCTAGCTATCGCTCTTCTCTGACTTCTATAGCACTCGCTAACACTCGTATGACACTACTCTTTAACGTTCACATATTTCCACAGCACTGCTTTCAATAATTCTTCTCTTACACTGCGTCCTCCACAGGTGCTTGTATGCGCTCACCTGTGCACGTGTGTATGTGTGTACCTGTGTCCTAATGCACGCGCGCGCGCGCGTGTGTGTGTGTAGGGGTGGTGGGTACCCGTCCATCCGTGCGCCCCGAGCAGGACCGCAAGGTGAGCATGCGTCTGCACCGCGCCGCGCCCGTCAACCGCTCCTCCTCCGACCTGACGGGCGGGCAGGAGCCCCTCCCCCGCGTCGCCTCCAAGGCAAGGCCTCCCCCCATACACAAATCCACATGACCCTGAGCTGTATCCATGGTCCCCTTAACCCTACTCCTCTTACATAGTTCCACCTCTCGACACCCCCCCCGTGAATGTGGCGAGAGAGAAACTGGCTCTGGTGGCCACATCTCCTCCTCCTCACTCCTACCCCTCCTCCTCGTCCCTGCTCCTCGGCCCTACCCCTCCTCGCTCCCCCCTCCTCCTTGCTTCTCGCTCCACCGTCCTCTATGAAGGAGTGCGTTGCTGCAAATGGAGACTTGTGATTCTGCACCGGCGGAGATGGAGATTGTCGATGGGTATCGTGTGCGTGCGGGGAGATTGATGGTGGTGCGTGAGTGAAGAAACGCCGTGGTGCGCGTGTGTGCGTTGTGCGTGCGTGCGCGTAAGGGAATTGACGGTGCTGTCTCTCCCTGTCACTGCGCTGGCCTCTCGTCGGGATAGTATTGTAGCTCACTGCCGCCTGCCACTGAGCGACTGCGCCACTATGCCAAACGGACACGCGTTGGCGCGTTCATGACGGTAACTCACCCCGGCCAGCGGCCTCCGCCCTCGCCGAAATATAACCCCTCTCCAGAACAACGCCCCCTCGCCCAAATAACACCACCGGGCCCTTCCCCTCAAGTGGTGGCAGTTTTGTCATCTTCGAGTCACTGGTGGAAATTCACTTGACCTTTGGCAGGGGCGAGTCTCTCTCTCTCCCTCGGATGACCGCTGTTGATCTCCCCACAGTGGTATTAATTTTATTGACCCTGGAAGGATGGGCTGAGTCGAGCCCCAACCAGGATTTGAACCTGTGACCTTCCGATTGCCGAGCCACTTTCGTTCTACCGCCGAGCCACCCGGCCGGATTCATGAAATAGGTGACAAAAACGTTGTCGACGGAGCGCGTTTGATCTCGGTCACCGGGTGTCGGGGCGAGGCGTCGCTGCTCCTGAAACGCGCTATCGCTTTCCAGAAACACGTCACCTCCCACGTCGGTAAGAACGACCCGGTGACCACGAGGGGCTCTCGTTAGGGAATCGGCCACCAAGGTGGGCGGTGATTGGAGTGGGCCAGCTACTCAACTTCTCCCCACTCCCCCCCGGGCTTTGTTGTGGTTGAGGTTGTAGTGGTTGTAACGGTTGCTCCGCATTCAGCTGCTGCTCTTCCAAGCAAAACGCTCCCTGCCTCCCTTCCCACCACTCCCCCCCCCCCCCCCCAGCTGCTGCCGCTCGCTCTCTCCGTCGGGTCCCTTTCACCCGACATTTTATCTGAAACAAAATAAATGAGCCGACAACGTGAGGCCTCCTCCTTCACATATCCGTCCCTCCACTCAAAAATGTTAATTATTTGTTACGCATCACATCAGAATTCTGTAAGTGCATAATTTCAGCAGTCATGTTTCAACGCAAGAACATCTCTGGACTGGTATCAACATTCGGTGTCTCATCGGCTGAGTCAGGCTTGCTTTTGAAACTCCGATGGCGTACTGCCAGATGTTTATCGCCAACGATCCCCTCATGTGTACTATTTCAACGCAAAACTATAATACGCGACACGGAATAATAATAATTAACATAATTGCAGAGATTGTAATTTACGATAAATAACAATTGTCGGGGGGGGGGGGGGGGTGGGGGCGTGGTGCCAAAATGGGGAGCAGCCGAGAGCGATTGTTGCGTCTCGACCACTCGCGCTGGCTCCGTCGGCTACCTCCCCGCCCCACTCCCGTACCCCCTCCGGAGGCATCTGACGGGGGGGGGGTGTGTGCAGGAGGAAGTGGAGGATTGTGGGGGGTGGGGGGTGTGGGGAGGTACAGACCCCGGTTGGCTCTGGGTGGGGCGGGGGGGGGTGGTGCGACCCGGCTCCACCTTGGATTTCTGGACACGCGCTCTCGCAGTTTTGATAACGCGCGTAAACCCTCGCATTTCATGGTGCTTAGAAGCGTGCTGCGTTTTTCATTTTCTCTATTGACCAACGTCAGGCGCGGCCGCGGCTATATCCATACAGCAAATTTATTTTTCAAATTATATTTTTTATATATCTTCGCCCCAGGAGGCAGATTTATTTTTTGGCTTCGTAATCTGGCGGTGTGCGGCGTGCAGTGCGTGCGTGCGTGCATGAGCGAGCGAGTGCACTGCCAGGCTGGGGCCCAGCATGCAGGACTGCATGCGAGCACCAGGTGGCAGTGCAGGCCGAGCATGTCGCAGGCTGTCAGGCGGCGTGGCTTGTGGGTACATTATGCGGATGTAAAAATAATCACCGGGAAAACCGATAACCATCTTCAGAATCCGTTAACACTTGTGACAAACCGGTTCCAGTGGGTTGACAGCAACGGTTGCGCCGATTGGCAGGGCGGCAAAAGTCACCGCGTGGCACATTGGCCTTCGCATTTTTCAGTCAAGAGGTGCGGGTACAACCCTGCGGTTGCTTGCTGCTCGCACCACTGATGGCGGAAGGACTTCCACGAGAGGGAGCCGTATAGGGTGTTTGCTGTCCTCTTCCACGCTGACCGGATGTCTTGGTTGACGTGGGCGCTCCCACCACGTCCGACCTGCCGAGCGACAGGTTCGCTTGAAAAGGGAAAATTGTTAGGTTCGTCGCTGAACGTTTTTGTACGTGTGCGGTCGACCGGTAGAAACCTCTTTTTACTGTTATAACGCGGTTACTGGTTGCGCACAAAAGCCCCCGATGTGGAGGGTGCGTGTAAACGTCGCGGCTCCCTTGGCACGTGGCAATTGATCGATTACACGAGCTTCTGATCCCCCATGGTACGCGCATCGAACCGCGCATGCACGTGGGTAGCGAGCAGTGGTAGCGTAGTGGTTGGGGCACACTGTGTTATGAACCCGGCACCCCCGACTTTGTATCCCGCTCAAGGCCAAAAATTGTGACGAATTTCTGAACCGGTCCTGGGCCTCCTCTAGGTCGACTCAGTCTTAAATGAGTACCTGGTTCACAATGTAAGCATCGGCACTGGTGAGACAAATGCGGCCGGGTGTGGTTCTGGCCACGCCACGCCCTTGTTCACCGTACCGGCCTTCGTAGGTGCTCGCAAACAGAACTTTCCCCACCAGCCTGTGTGGGCTACATGGGGAATCTGCGTCACAGTGGAACTTTCCGATTCGGATGTAGCCCTATTGCATTTGGTCCACGGAAACAGTGGAGCCACTCTGGATTCCACTCGCGGCGCGAGGGCCAGAATAAATCGGCGCCTGGCCCTGACACGTCAAGGTGGAGTCGCGGAGGAGGTGAACCCATACATCCGTCACGTCCGCGTAGCGCTCTGCTGTAATGACGGAACTGTGCTGTCTCAGCCAAACCCGTCCCTCCTAAACCAAGAGGCCCATTACGTGTCTGCTCATATCTTATTCTATCGCATTCTTCCATCTCGGCATTGGTCTCTGCCTATACTTCATCTGCGCAGCACCCATGGAATCTCCACTGTCCTTCTAATCTGTGCATGTGTGCGGGTCTGTGGGTCTCAAATCTACATATTCTTTCTCACTTCCTCGTCTTTGTCTCTTCTTAACACATGCCCGAAGACCCCTAAAGTCGAAGCAATTTCCTGCTCCAATGGGCAATTGAGGTGGTGCCCGACTCCTCTTTACAGCCATGAGCTACTGCTGGAAATGCCACATTACTGTGGTGGAGACGAGTCTATCCCCAGCTACCGTTGTTGACTTCCCCACAAAGTTGTTATCCATTGACCCCATGCGGACGATGGGCCTAGTCAAACCCCACAACCAGGGTTTGAACTCGCAACCTTTCCGATTTTGAGCCCCCCGCCGTGCTGCCGAGTCACCCGCCGCCCCAAACGTCACAAACGTGAACGGGGAGCGAGCTCCCCCCACAGCAGTGACGGCATCGGGTGCCGCGGTGAGAAGGAGGCGTTGCAGTGGACCGGCGCGTGTTCTCAACCGTGACGCTGGACCCTACTCGGCCTCCGCTTGGCTGCGCGTTGACCATTACCTCGCCCATTAACGCCACACGCCCCCCCAGGGCCCCGAGCTCACGCTGATGGACGGCAGCGGCGGCGTTCTCTCGGCAGTGGTATCCATCACACCCGCCGCTGCCGCCGCCATCCCGTCAGCGTGTAACGACCCCCCCCCCCCCCCCCCCCAATCACAAACTCTCTTCCCCAGTCCCCCCACTATGCAAGTCTGCGAACTGTCACGGTATGGGGCCACAATTGAATTCGGTAATGGTTTATTTTGTTTTTAAGTTTGCCTCGCCAGTCTTGTTTTTCCCGGTTCAATCTCTCGAGGTTTTCCTCTCTGCTCGCCCCCCACCCCGCGTGACTTCGTGTTCTGCGTAACTCGTTAATAATCGTTTCTCACGCACGCACGCACGCAATTCCTCGGCACTAAACGTGGCCTACGAGTCGCTCCCAATCGATGAATCGTCGCCGTCACGCGGCTTCTCTCTTAAACGCCGCTGCTGAGCGCAGGCCCCGGGGCCCGAAACGCTCGGCGGCCGGGCCAGCGACAAACCCAGGCTGCGTGGCTTTAGCCAGTGCCACCCAGGAGGTGCCACCCCCTTCTGGCGCGGTTGGGTGCTCGGCAGGTTGCCCCGCCCTCCCCCCCACTCCGTCCCCCACCGCTTGCAGCTTGACCGCGAGCCCTTTGGATCCACCGCACAGTGCTTCGCTGCTTGTGGGCACTATGGCCGCCCTCCCCCTTTCCTCTCCCTGGTCCCTCCCCTGCCCCGCTCCTCTCTCCCCTTCCCCACCAGGAGGGCGGGGGGGGTGGCGGCGGCCGGTGGTCACAGGGGGTAGGAAGGGGTCTTCATGCACCGCCGGGAGCCGCTGAAGAGTGGCGGAGCATGTGCGCCATCGAGTGCCTCTGGCTGGTGCTTGTGCATGCCGTGTTCTAGCACAGGTCCTGTGCCCCCCCCCGCCTCATCGGGGGGGCTGTGCGATTGAATGTGCGTTAATGTGCGTGCACGCCTCTGTGTGTGTGTGTGCGTGCACTTCTACAGCTGCCTGCCGCCATCTCGTCCAGCAGCGGGCTGAACTCGGCAGCCCTGCGCCGGAGCAGCGCGTCGGGCCGGGCCGAAGACGGAGACGCCATGTCGCGCTCCAACTCCTCCCGCGTGCTCAAGAAGTGACGGCCCCCGCTCCCCCCGTGCCCCCCTCCCCCTCCGTGCCAGCCCCCCACAAGACTCTCCTCCCCCCGTCGCGCCCGGGACGAGCAGCCCTCTGGACCGCGCGCCACCCACGGCGCCGCGGCTGCTTCTCTCCGCGCCGCCCACGTGCGTGAAGAGCGCCCCCCCACGACCCCACGCTCACGGCGGAACCCGGCTTTCCCCCCCCCCCCCCCCCCCCCCCGCGGCTCTTGGAACCCCTCCCCTGCGTGCCCTCCCCCTCCCCTCCCAGGCGTGAACTGTGCTCACCCGGTGCCCGTAAAGAGGGAGATGGAATTTAAAACACGGCGCTGTCAACTGAACAAAACGTCCCCCCCCCCGCCGACACCGCCCGGCACAATCTGCACTGTGACGCGTGGAGGGGGGAGGGGGTGTGGTGTGGGGCGGAGTGGTGGGGGGCGGAGTGGTGGGGGGGGTGTCGTGCTCAGTCTCCGACTACCGCGCGCGATTTGCTGGCAACACCCCCAGCCCCTCCGCATCGAGGTGTGCGGGGAGTTTCTCTCCCGTGGGGGAGGGGGGGAGTGGTTGGGGCTCGCGCGAATGACGGCGTCAACCGGCGCACCTGCAGGGTGCCGAGCTGTGGCCTTGCGCTCCGCTGCTGCTGCTGCTGCTGCTGCGGACGGGCGGAGTGTGTTGCGGCCGTTGAGTCCGATGCCTCGTCTTAGCTGAACCCCGTTAGACTGGGTTTAGAAAGCCGAGCCGTGTTAAAGACTGTTCTTAGCTGAGCCGGGTTAGACCCGGCTCGGCTAGGCAATGTTGCCACCCGTCTTAGCTGAGCCGCGTTAAACCTGTCTTATTGAGAGCTGTGTTTAAACGATTTTAATTGAGCTGTGTTTGGCTTTGGCTGATCTTTATTAGACAGGACTTGGTTTAAGCTGTGTTAATCCGGTCTCAGCTGCACCGTTAGACTGGGATTTAGCAGGACTGTGTTAAACGGACTGGGCTTGGCTGAGCTCTTAAGACCACACAAGTTGGAGGGGCTTGGATTGGGAGGAGTTGGGGGGGGGGGCTGGCCCTGATGGTGCTGGGAAGGTGGGGAGACTTGGCGACCGTGAGTCTGCTGCGCTTGTGCCAGCTCCATGGGGGGGGGGTGCTTTGCTCAAATGGCTCTTGGTTTTTTTCTTTTATCCGTTTCTCTTGTGAATTTCATTTTCTCTTGGCTGTTTGTGTACTAATGGGCATATTGCATTTTTTGAGATTGAATGGGTTTTGGATGCAGCCTTGATTGTCCTGTTCATGCTGGAAAAAGGCTTTTGTAAGCTAAACATTCTGCAGAGTACCTTTTTTCCAATCTGCTCTGCAAGTGGCCGCCACATGAATCTGCGACACCCCCCCCCATCCACCCTCCGTGCGCGCACGGGTGGTTTCACGGCGCGACTGATCGGCGCACCGTTGCCGCGCCCCACAAGCAACCGCCAAACATGGGCGCGGAGAGATCAACGCGGGCGGGCGGGCGGGCGGGCGGGCGCAAGCCGGAGAGATCGTCGACTGAAGGCGGGCCCGGTTCTTCAGGATGGCGACGACCTTTAATGAACTCTGTCGATTCTCTTAATTCTTCCAAAAATGAATTTGTTGTGAGTTGTGTTTAACCCCCCCCCCTCCTTCCCCCTCTCTCCCCCTCCCTCCCCCTCTCTCCCCCTCCCCCATCACATGTAACCGTGCAAGGTCCCTCGAGCGTGTTAGTCGGTGGCCAGTGTGTTTGCTAGAAGAGTTGTCGGTGCTCAATGTTGTTGGGATTCATTGAAAGATGTTGTAGTTGAGAGATTGTGGGGGGGAGGGGGGGGGGATTTGCCGAGATGGGGAGGGGGTCAGGGAGGAGCCGGCGGCGACGAGGTGATTTATGTTGCTCCGTCCACACTACGGAGTTAGGGGGGGGGGTCAGCGGGAAGCAAGTCGTAGGTTCCTGTGGAAGTCGTCGCGATGTTGGCTGTGCGAGTCCCATCGCCCAGGTCGCTTGACTGTGGACAAGGCTCGCCTGTGCCCAGTCCCCTGGCAGGCCGAGCAGGCCTTGAGCCCAGCCATAACCAGCAGGGCCATAGCCACACGCGCGTGCGTGGTTTGAAGCCGCGATATCCACGTAAGCCCTTCACGTTCAGAGTGCTGCTGCGGTGTTATGGTTATGAGTGGACACACCTGCAGTTTGTTGGTTGGCAAGGCAGTGTGTGGCAGGGTCAATTGCTGCTCATCTCATCCGGGACATGTCTGGCCACCGTGCAAAGTGAGACCAAAATACCCTCCAGAGTGGCCCTCGGGCTCCCGTGTAGTGGAGGCTTTTCTGCCAACAGCAGCGGCGTTAGCAAGCAATCGCAGGGCTGCACTTCTACCTGGATAAATGTTCTGAATGTCGGAGCTAGGCTCCGCCCTTGGCGGTGTGCAGCTCGTGCTGCTTTACCCGCATTGACCAGCGCGGTGAAGTATGGCCATGTAACTCTCAGCCCCGCATTGTGCGGGGAGACCCTCCAGCATTAGCTTGCCAACCAGGGCTGTAAATGTTCTCTGCTTTAAACGACAGGTGTAGGTAAAATGCCACTAAGATGTTTGGTGCGCGGTGAGACGGCCTTGCCACCCCCCCCACCCAAACCCAGCGGTGGTTGGGGGTGCAGAGGTCGCACACTTTCCGCCGCTCTCTCGAGCGACGCGTGAACTGCGCACCGCTCGGTGTTGAGAGCTCCCGTTGCGTCTCCCGTAGCGGCGGCGTTCCTAGACTCACACCGCTCTGGTCTTCCCAGGGGGGGGTGGGGGTGGGGGGAGTGGGCGAACGGGGGTTGGGGGGGGGGTGACCCATCTGGTGCGGGTGAATTGGGGAAGGCACGGGGATCTTTTTCAATCAACCCTGGCTTCTAACGTCACTCGCTAGGCCGGTGTGGGTAACCACAGCCAATCGGCAGGGTGAGCAGTCGGGGGTGAGCCCCCACCATCCCACTATGGCCCCCTGGTGACGAAGCCGCCACTCAGTTGGATCCCCACCCGGTGTGGCGCTCTGTAGAGAAACGTTCATATCTTTTTTTTTCACTCCCCAACTTTATTTTAGTTTTTTTTTTCCCGTGGAGTCTGCTTGCTTTCTGTATTTATTAATGTCAGTCGTAGGTTTTAGCCATAGATATAAGACATTTATAATAAAAAAAAATCTTTTTAAAGATCACAAGTGTCGTGCCCGCTAGTTGTGCGTGTCGGGCGTGGTGGGATTTCTCCGGGCATGACGCTTTCATCCCACGCACGAGACCTGCGTTTAAAAATGAGCGATGAATTCACATACAATTCACTCACCCTTTTACCATAACCGTTTCTCCACGTAAATGCAAGCGTTTTTTTGATACACATCCCATCGGCCACACACGGCTTTCTGAGGTACAGCATTTCAGCAGCATCGGTGTTAAAACAAGCATAACTCTGGACCGATTATAGCATTGGCATCTCGACAGCGGAGTCGGGTTCGCTTGAACCACTGCCAGGTGTGTGTAGGTGAGGTCCCTCTTGTTAGATATGGGTCCTATTTGGAGACGGCTTTAATACACGACAATCGGCAGTGGAGATTAAAGGTATTCTCGGTAAAAAGGAATTGGTCACAAATCCCAGTGTGATACTGTTCCGTTATATTCGCTTGAATGTACAATCGCATTTTAACCTCCGTGATGTTTTATGACCGGGGCCTTGGATAAAATGGCACAGTTCGGCGCTACCGCGTTCGCCGCTTTGTTGCAGAGGTTTGCGGTTTCAGTGGCAGGCCACCCTGGTTAATAATGCGCTGTATTTACCATAAAAAAACTGCGCCGTCAGTCTCGGTGCATGTTCAAAGATTCTGACGGTCGAAGAAGAAGAGGAAGGCCGTGCTGTGCCACAGCCATTGTCCCAATTTGCCCAAATTAGTAAAATGATTCCGCAAATCACTCAATAGGAAAACAGCAAACGTTGCCTCTGACTGCACAAACTCAGAATGATTCTCCGAAGAAAGCCTTGATGCCCGTGGAGGCTCTCCTGGGAAACGAGCAGAATAACTGACCCAAGGCATTGCTCGCCTTGAGTCATTTATTTTAATAGCCGACTTGTGACCGTTCCAAGTTGATTGTGTAACCAGGTGAGAACTCGAGAGACCAAGAGCGTCTTTAATTTGTACGAGTGACCTGGGGCATCAGTCTGCCGGTCGTGGGCGATGGCTGCTGCTGCTGTACGATCCCAATTAAGCACCGTGCAGTGTGCATTATCGAACTTGCCAACATTGAGCCCTGACGCCGGCACACAATGGGGCCATACTCTTGCCAACGACGCCACATGACTCTTTAACGTTGTTGGCCACGTTGCAGGCGTCAATATGCGCGCGGCGCCGCCTGCTGCTGAACAAGGGACGGCAGCGAACGCGATCCCTGCCCCTGCGTGCGAGTAACGATTCAAACGGACTGGAGTACAAGCACGGGGCAGGCGGGTCGATGGACCCCTGATGAGGTTGGTGGTCGAGGCGGGTCGGCTGAGATTTTCTCGAGGTCGGTGGTTCTCCACCGTTCAGGAGGGATGCGGTCCACGGTGGCCCACCCCCTCAACGTTTTCTCGCGCTCCTGTCGCGCTGGGGGGCACTGTGCCCCCCCTTCCTACGGCCACGTGGAACCTCCACTACGGCGTGGGAACACACTCGCGTTCGTCTACCCGCACCGTACCCGACTCTGATAATAAAAATAACAATTCGCGACGTTTCGGGCAATGGTCCGAGTTGGCTGATGCTCGAGGACGTGTGTCGCAGATCTTTGGAGGGGAGGAGGAGGAGGGGGGGGGGGGCGTTTGAAGCCGATTCCTCGCCGCGTAGCTGCTGCTGCTGCTGTTGCCTTCCCGCTCTCCGAGACAGCGGGGAGAGAGCGGATCCTGTGTGGTGGTGGTGGCGGAGGTGGCAGCGTTACGAGTTGACAACCCTCGTTCATCTCTGGCTACACAGCTCCCCCCCCTTCCCGTATGGCGCTTGCTGCCTTGATTTGCCCTGCGTGTGACGGAGCGCTTCGAGATCCTCTGTGGCATGCCAACAACAACTAATACTACGACTGCTAATGGTGATAACAGCCATGGTCATTGACAGCCCCTTCGTAAATCCACCGTGTGGGTCCTGAGGACCGTTTTACTGATGCCACGCTTGAATAGTGCGGGTTGGTGAAGGGGGGAATGGGCAGGACTCGCCGCCACTGATGTTAGCCGTGACCCGGGCTAGAACTCGGAGGGGTTTATAAAGCAGTGCGCTAACCACTGCGCCACAGCACCACCAATGTGTTGTCCCATACAACCGCTGAACGAATGTAACGCGCCTCTCAATGTGATTATGCAGTGTCCATGGTGTCTCTCCTTGTCTCTCGTGCCTCCATCGCTCCAGCTCGTCCCCTTGATCTGTGGAGTCAGTGGGAGGGACTCCCCGTGTCTCTGCCACGTCCACAGTCGCCACGCACTCGGGCTAGAGCGGGTGGCGTGGCTCGTGACAGATGGAAGCTCTTTAAAGCTTCATTAATTATGCAAATCTATTCTTAACGCGGTCTCAATTGCTCGGTGGGGCGGGGGGGGTAGCTACCCTGGGTGAATCGGATCCTATAACGAGTGGGGGGGGGGGGGTCAAGTTGTCTAAATGCAGAGGCCCCATCAGTACGCAGGAAATTCGCCTCCCCTCCCCCCATCCATAGGGGTCCCCCGACACATCTCATCAGCCACACGGCTATTTTTGGGGAGTGCACACACATTCAGCAACATTCATTCAACACAAGCGCAAACTCTGGACCGGTTTCAACGTTCAGTGTCATCATCAGCAGGGGTCAGGCGTGCTTGAGCCGACAGTGTTGGTGAGCTGCCAGGCGAGCAGAGGGTGGGGGAACTGGAGAAGCGTGAACTCAAATGGAGACGCGACATCACAGCCCGAGAACAGCGTGGTGATGTGGGTGGTGATGTGGGTGGTGATGTGGGTGGGGGTGGCGATGGCGATGTCTGTGGTGACGTGGGTGGGGAACGGTCGTGTAGCGGTTCGTGCACTGCGCTATGAACCCGGCGACCCGGGTTCAATTTCCGCTCACGGCCAACACCAGCGACGATTATCTAATCCGGTCCTGGGCCTCCCTTAGGTCGACTCGGCCTTAAATTAGTGCCTGGTGCGGTGTGTAAACATCGTCACTGGGGAGACAAAGACGGTCGGGCGTGGTGCTGGCGACCCACCCCCTCGTGTGCCGTTCCGGCCTTCATAGGTGATCGCTAACAGCACTTGACCCTACAGTATGTTAAGGCTATACAGGGGATCTTTATCTTTGTGGGTGGGGGTGGTGATGTGAGTGAGGGTGATGTGGGTGGGGGTGATGTGAGTGGGGGTGATGTGGGTGGGGGTGATGTGGGTGGGGGTGATGTGGGTGGGGGTAGTGATGTGGGTGGGGGTAGTGATGTGGGTGGGGGTAGTGATGTGGGTGGGGGTAGTGATGTGGGTGGGGGTAGTGATGTGGATGGGGGTAGTGATGTGGGTGGGGGTAGTGATGTGGGTGGGGGTAGTGATGTGGGTGGGGGTAGTGATGTGGGTGGGGGTAGTGATGTGGGGGGGGGTAGTGATGTGGGTGGGGGTAGTGATGTGGGTGGGGGTAGTGATGTGGGTGGGGGTAGTGATGTGGGTGGGGGTAGTGATGTGGGTGGGGGTAGTGATGTGGGTGGGGGTAGTGATGTGGGTGGGGGTAGTGATGTGGGTGGGGGTAGTGATGTGGGTGGGGGTAGTGATGTGGGTGGGGGTAGTGATGTGGGTGGGGGTAGTGATGTGGGTGGGGGTAGTGATGTGGGTGGGGGTAGTGATGTGGGTGGGGGTAGTGATGTGGGTGGGGGTAGTGATGTGGGTGGGGGTAGTGATGTGGGTGGGGGTAGTGATGTGGGTGGGGGTAGTGATGTGGGTGGGGGTAGTGATGTTGGTGGGGGTAGTGATGTGGGTGGGGGTAGTGATGTGGGTGGGGGTAGTGATGTGGGTGGGGGTAGTGATGTGGGTGGGGGTAGTGATGTGGGTGGGGGTAGTGATGTGGGTGGGGGTAGTGATGTGGGTGGGGGTAGTGATGTGGGTGGGGGTAGTGATGTGGGTGGGGGCGATGTGGGTGGGGACGGTGGCCCTCTATCTGAACCGGTCCTGGGCCTTCCCTGGGTTCACTTCGCCTCGTATAAATCCCCCGGTTTTAACCCTCCACGAAGCTCATGGTGCACCATAAACCGCACCCGTACAAAGCCATGGCAGATGCGGATTTCCTGATGCACAAATGGGGAACAAAACTCCTCCAGTAGTGGTGCGCGACTGTGCTCATCCAGAACAGAGACCGTACAACGTGTAACGACGCAATGCCACGAATACGGAGGAGACATCGCAGCGATGGTCACACTCCGCTCCTCCTGACGCGGTTATCTGGGCTTGACCACCTGAATGTGAAATAGTTTTCTTTCTTGATCTGCATCTACATCAGCCGTACGAATAGAAGAGGAAGAACGCGATGCGGTGTGTAAACATCACCGCAAGGGAGACAAAGGCGGCCGGGCGTGGCGCTGGTCACCCACCCCCCCCTCGTATTCCTTGGTCGCTAACAGCGCTTGCCCCAACAGTCTGGCTAAGGCTGTAGTCGTGCGGTTGCGTGTGGGTGGTTGCGGTTCTGCTGTTATCGTTGTTGGTAATTACGCCGATCGCTGTAAAAGCGTCAAGATCGCGTCCAAATGTCCACTCCCTCACCCTCAACTCTCCCCACCACCTCCACCCACCGCCCCAACCCACAGGGGGCCATGAACGCCTCCATCAGTTTCCGCGCCCTTCCTTTGACGAGCGCCGACTCCAGCTGGACTCGTTTGGGAGAAGGGGATCAAAGGGCCCCCCCCCCCTGTCTGTCTCCGGGACCCCCAGCACCTCCCGCCGAACCCCTCTACCCATGCCCCCCCCCCCCCCCACACCGTTCTAACCCGCCCCCTCCACCCATCAAGTCCTCGTGCCAATGGATCCGCGTTCATCATCCGGGGCTAATTTGTGAGCGAGGCGCCGCGTGCGTAACGGGTGGGGGGAGGGGGGGGGGAGAGGAAGGGCGGGGATAGGGAGGAGGAGTGGGGGGCAGGAGGAGTGGGGGGCCGGGGGAGCGGCGGGGGGGGGGCAATTGCTCTCCGTGTTTAGGGAAGAGTTTGATGAGTGGCGGTGCGGACTGGATGGGGTGGGGGGATGGAGAAGGCGGGATGGTCGATTTGATTGTTTATAGAGGCTGGGGGAGGGAGGGTGTTAATTGCGGTGCTTGTTTGGGGTGGGTGTTTGAGTAGTAAGGGGTGTTAATTGTGGTGTTGGAGGGGGGAGGGGGCAGGGTTGTGTGTGGATGGGGGGGGGGGTGTACCCCGACCCATGGGGAGCGGTGGCTCAGTGGTTAGCGCACTGCGTTGAGATCCCTGCCACCACCCGCGTTTGATTCCCGCTCACGGCCAACATCGGTGGCTAATATCTGGCATATCTCCTTTATCTGAACCGGTCCTGGACCTCGCTTAGGTCGACTCGGCCTGCAATGAGCACCTGCTACAATGTAGAAACATCGCCACGAGGGAGACAAAGGCGGACGGACGGTGACGCTGTCCGCCCACCCGCTCGTGTCCCCTGCCGGCCTTCACAGGTGCTCGCGAACAGCACTTGCCCCAGCAAGTGCTGTTCTTTGTACCCCCCTCCCCTACCCCTCCCGCAGTGTAAATCCCGATGAGTGAGGCGAGGCACGTGAGATGCAACTGTTGCACTATTTGGCAGCGGGAAGGAAGCGATGGCGAGACGCGGCGGTGGCGGATTCACCAACGCTGCCTGTGAATTGTGGGTACAAGGTGGGGGGTGGGGGGAGATACACAGCCCCCCCCCCCCCCCCACCAGGACCCCCATAGAACCCCCATTGCCCCCCGAGGAGGCGCGGAGGTTGGGGCACTAATGGAGAAGTGGGCAGAGACGTCTCATCAAACGCATTTAGGCGGCGCTTGGGTCGATAGGGGGGCGGTTTCAGTGAGGATTGGGGGGGGGCGGCGGCGGGAGCGGCGGGGGGGGGCGGCAAGTGGATGGGGAGGGGGGGACACGGGGTTCGGGTCGGGTCAGAGCCGTAGTGAGGTCCTGGAACCGCGCTCCTCTGCACCCCCATGCCCCCCCTCCCCCACCGCTCCCTGCCCGAGGCTGAACTTCATTGGGTCGGACAGGCGGGGGACAGGGGGGGTGGCAGGGTGTGTGATTCGAAGGGAGGGGCCGTCCCCCCCACCCCCCGCACTCAGGGTTGCTATGGGGACGGGCACTCATTGAGCCAAACCAAGGCGCTGTGACGATTTCGGCAATTGTGTGGTGTGTGTGGTGAGTGTGGGTGGTGTGTGGGTGGTGTGTGTGGGTGGTGTGGGTGGTGTGGGTGGTGTGTGTGGGTGGTGTGTGTGGGTGGTGTGTGGGTGGTGTGTGGGTGGTGTATGTAGATGAGTCTGGGGTGTCGGTGGTGTGTGTGGGTGGTGTGTGTGTGTGTTGTGTGGGTGGTGTGTGTGGGTGGTGTGTGTGTGGGTGGTGTGTGTGGGTGGTGTGTGTGGGTGGGTGGTGTGTGTGGGTGGTGTGTGTGGGTGGTGTATGGGTGGTGTGTGTGTGGTGTATGTGGATGAGTCTGGGGTGTGTGGTATGTGTGTGGTGTGTGTGGTGTGTGTGGTGTGTGTGTGGTGTATGTGGATGAGTCTGGGGTGTGTGTGGGTGGTGTGTGTGGGTGGTGTGTGTGTGGTGTGTGTGGATGAGTCTGGGGGGTGTGTGATGTGTGGGTGGTGTGTGTGGGTGGTGTGTGTGGGTGGTGTGTGTGGGTGGTGTGTGTGTGGTGTGTGTGTCGTGTGTGTGGGTGGTGTGTGTGGGTGGTGTATGT